CAAGATTATTGCACTTATATAGCGACGTGCATGCACGTGTATGTGTGTGTGTGGCTGCTTGTACTAGTCCGGACTGATGCCGATTTATAGTGCTAGCTCACTGAGATACCATGCCGCAGTTTAACATGAATACCCCACTCAGACACAGTATACTGACTCCGAGCCGACCAGTCCTTGTTTTAGCCCCTTAATGCCGAGCGCCAGACAGGGTAACAACAAGTACAATCTTTTGACGTCTTTTTGTATGACGCGGCCCGGGATCGAACCCTGGACCTTCCGGTCTCCGGGCGGACGCTCTACCACAAGACCACGGAGGCGGTCGAGTTGGGTTAAACACCGCTTTTAACAGTGTTCCAGTTATATCACGGCATATCAACTTAATGTGGGAGGAAAACCCGAAGTGATGCAACCCACAAGCACGGGTATGGTGCTGACAAACCTAGAAACATAATCGGGGTGAACCGGGATTCGAACCAACAATCATAGGTTTCTGGCGTGCTAAACGGACGCAACTCTGCACAGCGAATCGCGGCGCCTTAGACGACTGGGTCACCCTTGCCCCCTTCCCACACCCCTTCTGATACTGTGGGGTGTTTCGCAAAGAATGAATACAATGGAATAATTGACAAGCAATAGACATAAAATAACAATTATGATGATCAGTGAGAATTACTAAACATTATTTCACTATTATGGGTTATGTTCAATAATTAAGCATTTGTTGAGCTGCAATCTCATTAAAATCAGATCTTAGTTCTCGCTACCGCTAAACAAAGATCTGAGGACATCCCATTAGGGGTCATGTCAGAACGACCTTTCATCCGACCAATCAGTGCGTCGCTTACCAGATTATGAAAGCGACAGACGGAATGTGATTTCTAATCATGCAATCTCGAAAACTTTAACATGGGGAATTCCGAACGATAGATACGTGTTTAACGACTGAATCCTTACAATCTAGACCATCTATTAGCCATTCCAGAATGTTTTTTTGTTTTTGTTCAGGTTTCAAATTTGTAATCGAGAATTTGTCAAAATATGTTTCGAAGCGTAGTCGCCAATTTAAAATTAGCGCTGTAAAGCACGAGAAAGCTGCCTTTTGATTGGTCAAATAATCAAAAATCTAGTCACTGAAAATAAAGTATGAACATTTTTGTCAATTATTCTCACACATCAAAATCCCTGATTGCTTTCTATGGTTTTACCACATCTTACATCAGCTTCAGGGTTTCATCAAAAAAGAAAATGTCTGAGACTACTATCATCTTGGGCATTCCTAAAATTAAGCCTAAGTGAAATAACTAAAATGCTGTTCATGAAAGGCTTCATAAAACGAGTGACACATCGGACTGGAGTCGATAGTGTTGGCCAGTGTCACCCGAAATGTCGTCCACTCTAAGGTTATTTCCTGTTTAGCTCCGCACTCAGCAATGTTCCAGCTATATGACGGCGGTCTGTAAATAATCCAGTATGGATCAGACGACCCATCGATTGACATCATGTGAGAATCGTTCTACGCAATTGGGATACGACGATGACATGCATCAAACCAAGTCAGCGAGCCTGACCACACGATCCCGTTAGTCGCCTCTTTCGACAAGCATAGTCACCTTTTATGGTCATGTGTGTGAGTAGGGTAAACATATTTATTGTGAGTTTTAGTATTGATAGAATTTGTTTTGATAAGATTTATATTTTCGTATATTGATGACTCCATTTTTATCTTTGGCTGCGCTGTTTATATACGTTCGAGTAGCTGTCCATCTCTCAGAAATAGGATTAGTTTGACCTTTTCTATTGCATCTCTTGGCTTGAGGAGATCTCCGAGGGGGGTGTTTGGGGATAATTTATTTTTTCAGCTCCAGCTGCAAAACCAGAATTTAAAAAAAATTAAAACTATGAGCCTTATGCTTATTGAAGAAAAACACCTAGCAACAATGTAATTTTTGTGGCAGCAAGAAAAGTCCTTTTTTTCAAGAATTATATGGGACAAGTTCTTTTCTTCGATAAAATCCTAGTTCGGCCTGAATAGGATACGTCGCTCATTGTTTATCAAATTCAGGATGTAAGGGGGGTACAGTAAACTACGGTTATAACGAACACTCTGATAACGAACTGACGGATATAACGAACTTACTTTTTTGGTCCCCACTATTTGCTGTAGTTATGCTGTATATATGCTTATAACGAACTACGGTTATAACGAACTAAATTTAGTAGTCCCTTTGAGTTCGTTATAACCGTACTTTACTGTATTCGCAAAGCAGTCAAAAACACGATCTGAGATGTAAAACGGGCAGTGAATTGAAACAATACTGTTTAAATTCTTATTGCTTTAAACATACCTGTGTTAATTAAATATTTTGGAGAAATGATTTTATTGTAAATATTGTTTGACGAACACAAAACATTGTTCTATCATGACGTCATTTCTGGAGACTCGAACATGCGCTCGCAACTGATGACGTATATATTGAACGACGTTATTATTGAGAAGGGAGTGTCTAGTGAGTTGTGCGCGCCCCGAGTGGTTTATTCTCCATGTAGTGTTTTATTGGACCATAAACAACTATGTCGTTTAGGTCTTAAATATATACTGAACCGCAAAAGAAACGTCACCCCAAGTAACATTGCATGACAAGTTGTCATTTAAATATCTGTGTAATTTTTGTCAAAGTTTCTCAAATTTATCTTGACCGGAAAAATGAAATTTGATCATGAAGAAACCAAAGCAGATGACAATAAAACCGATCGCCCAAACGCATCACGACAACGTCCACGGTAACCCAATGCACGTGATTTCCGTGCAAATTGAAAACACATGCGTTCCCCCATCTCTTGCCCTATAAAAATCCACCCAGATCGGATAACATTACCCCCCGGCTAAAAATCAAAACACGCACACTAGGAACTTGCCCACACTGCACCTACCCTGAAACACCAGAGTGAGTGAGTGAGTGAGTATGGTTTTACGCCGCTTTTAGCAATATTCCAGCAATATCACGGCGGGGGACACCAGAAATGGGCTTCACACATTGTACCCATGTCGGGAATCGAACCCGGGTCTTCCGCGTGACGAGCGAACGCTTTAACCACTAGGCTACCCGACCGCCCCCTGAAACACCAGAACACGTACTCCTACATTGTCCACACTACCAAACCCAACGCACAATGCTAAACAATTCTGTAAACCCAAATAAAACAGTAACTTTAGAATCAATCCTAAACCCCCAAAACCACCCAGATACTTCCAATGCCCCAGGCATCTACCTAATTAAAACCAAATTAATAAACCGCATCTAAACACTCAAAAAACACCAAAAAATTATATAAAAAAATAAAAAATATATAAAACCAAAATCATAAATCTCCATACATTCCCTTAGACTACCACCTCCACCCTTGGCATCTTCCAAATCTCCAAATTTCAAAAACATTAAATAAGCAGCCAAAAAAGCCCCATCCTGGCTGCAAACTCCTTTTTTTCCCTTTCTGGCTAATGCACTAAATGGCCTGGCCGGCCCGTGTGCGAAATACGCTGGAGTCGGAAAGCGCACGTAAAATCTCCAATGTAAGTAAGTAAGTAGGTAAGTAAGTAAGTAAGTAAGGATAACATTCATTCGTTATTGAATTGCCACCACATGCCAAGATTGACAAGAAACAGCGACACCAAGCCCTTGGACCATTGCAAGCTGGACAAACCGCCTGGCAAGTAGCCAATGTATTTCAAGTCCACGTAAGGACCATATACAGGCTCCACAACAGATGACCGACCACGTAGTGGAAGACCAAGGGTCACCACCCGACGTCAGGATCGTCAGATTGTGCGACAGCATCTTATGGGTCGCTTTGTTACTCCTGCGGAAACTGCTCGACACACCATGGGGACACACCAGCGACACATTAGTGCGGACACCGTGCTTCGACGATTGACGAGCAGACACTTCCACACCGAGGACCCATTCTGGCACCACGTCATTGCCGGGACCGTCTTCCGTGGGCAACACAGCACCAACATCGGCGTCACCAACACTGGAGGAGAGTCCTCTTCTCAGACGAGAACCGTTTCTGTATCTCAACAGCAGATGGCAGAGAGAGCGTCTGACGCCGCCGTGGGGAACGTTATTCGGATGCTTGTGTTGTTGAGAGAGACTCGTGGGGTGGTCCGAGCATCATGGTGTGGGGTGGAATTGGTCTTGCACAGAGGGTCGGTCCTGTGGTCTTCCAGAACATCGGTCCAGGGAGAGGCAATGGTGTCACAGCAGCTCGGTACATTGATCAAGTCTTGAGACCACATGTCATACTTCATTTGGCACGTCGCCCCAACCACGAGTTTCAGCATGATAACACCCGTACTCACACTGCAAGAGCAACAAGAGACTTCCTCCAGCAGAATGGCATCTGAACCATGCAGTGGCCTGCCCTCAGTCCCGATTTCAATCCCATTGAGCACCTGTGGGAGGAGATTCAAAGACGGCTGAATGACGTCCGACCAAGGCCGACAACTGCAGCTGAACTGCGTCAGGTGTTCCTCGGAATGGGGTCGCAAGAGCCTATGGCCTTCATCAACCGCCTCATCCATTCCGTGTATCGACGTTGCACGTCAGTCATCAATGCACATGGCGGACACACGAGATACTGACTTGTGATGCCATTTTCTCAGGGACTAGTATTGTGTTTCACTTAAGAACATTTGACACTTTAATTTCAACCTTGATGATCAGTTTTGCCAAGTTTCATCTTTTTAATATGTCTCAAAGTATGTTCACAGTGTTTGGACAAATAAGGTTTCTCATATATCTATCCATGGTGACGTTTCTTTTGCGGTTCAGTATATTTATATAATAGTTGAGCCCGGATCCTCCGCTTGGTGCCGCTGCACTTCCCCTGTCTTCCATTGAGTGATGTCCCTTTGATAACCACTACACTGGTTTGTCTGCCCTGGAGCGCTTGCGCTTCTAGCCACACTTTGTGCAGCCGCTAGGAGGACAAGGGTACCAGTCTACATAACCACGCATTTCCGTAAACTTCTCACTGCGAAAGTCCCTGCGCGGGGCTTTTGAGGTCTGGCTCTTGACTGTGTAACATGTGTGATGGAAGTGTCACAAAGGTGCAACGTGCTGGAAAGGAGATTGTCATTTCCGAAGCCAAAGTACACGAAAAACGAATGAGCTGGCCGTAGCCACTTCCAGTTTATGTAACCTCCCAGTTGCTTAGCCGACTAAGAGCTATTTCTCGCAGAGGTAAGACTTTTGTCGAGTTCTGAAAAACATAGGAAAACAAATCCCACTTGATATGACACATTAACAGGGATGTGAAATCTCCGCGGAAACGCGGAAAATCGCGTTTTTTAAAACAGTAGTCCTCGGAAAAAATCATCTTCCGCGGAAAAAAATATTAAATTTTTAAAAAAAAACACTCCGAAAAATATGATCGAAAACCGGACAATTTGCGCGGATTGTCCTGTTTTCGATCGGAGCTTTCACAGCATAGGTTTTCGGACATCATACGTTTTCTGTCACGAATTCTTGCACTATAACGTGGGGCATGGCGTCACACAGAAATTGTAAATACTCAGAGTCAGCTGATGGCTTGTTTTTAAGATAAAGTTGTCTTTTAGCCTGTAAGTGAATGAGATGTTTTACAGTTGTTCATGTGATAAGCGAGAAATTTATGAATGTTTCTTCAGCGTCCAAAACCCCATGTCATGGGGATATATATTGTATTAATGTCTTATGTTTGCAATGGAGTTTTGTTTTTTTCATCAAAAGGTAAGTACAAGGTAAGTTTTTTTTCAATATGCTTCAACATGGGGAAAGGGTCAGACATTGCACACTTGTGACAGTTGTCCTTGTGTCTGGGGGATGGGGGTTGAAGTTTATGGCAGTATTGCTCCCAGACCTGGCGGGTAGCCAGGTGCGCGAAAGCTATGCCCGATTTTTTTAAAGTACTGATTTAACTTCGAAATTTTACTGCATCTGCCATCTTGTTTATTTTACTTATTGACTTTTGCCATTGACTTATTACATTTCTTGGTGTGAATGTTGTCCAAACTGCATGAAATTGCTTAAAATGCAATCAAATGTTTTAAAAATTTCTGGGGGGGCATACCCCCAGACCCCCCTAGACGTTTCCTCTTTTTTCGGCAAAACCTGCTCACATCCCTGCATTAATCAGAGCAAAGACGCTTATAGACAGGCTAAGCAGCCTGTTCTGATTGTCTTCACATATTCGAGTCACGCTAATTGCCACAGGAGAGGTTCATCGGCCGGCTGTGGCGCACTAAGCATCTTGGGTAATTCACTATCTTAGCGAAGACATTTTATTTGGATTTTTACAGATTGCAGCATCAACGTAGCACGTAATGTGACACAATGTTTGAGTTTTTCTTCTTTATTTTCTGTGTGGCCGTTATAACTGTTTTTGTTGTAGAGTTTTGACTTTTTTTCTGTGGCCCTTTTGACCTGCTCCCGAGGAACCGAACAAAATGGTTGACATGCAGTCCCAAAAATTGTAGGTCCTCGGTTTATGAAGCGGAGGATTGCGAATGTCCTTAGTTACTTTAATGAGATGAAAGTGCAAAGTATTTTAATAATTAATGAGGATTTGTGTTGTCAGAACAGGATTTTTTAAACTGAAAACATGCATCAGTACTGGCCTTTTAAATTATTCATGTTTATGGAGCACCTTTAAGACGATCTGTCGTAGGTCACATGTCTCAAAAAGAAGCAACCAGTATTTTGTGAGAATCCCTCGAATGGGAACTCGCGACATTCGTATTGCTAGCCAGACAGCTCACCAACTGAGCTACGTCCGCAAATTTACCTGGTCATGCCTACGACTTTAGGGTAATGAACGAAAAGGGTTGATTAGGTGACAGACACTTACGAAGGTTACGGGTATAGGTATGGTGTCTCGTGACTTTAGTCTACAGACACTTACGAATGATCCCTATGCCATTTGGCACACTCATCCCATTCCGTAATCGACAAGATACCGAGTGGTGAGGAATGAGGCGATATGGCGCGAACTGAAAATGTTGTCAAACGGCAAACTCGTGAGTACGCATAAATGATAATTTGTCGGCGATTTTTGTGACGGTAAATGTGTGATAGGGAACACTGTAAGGATGATGTGGATAATAGTTTGGAACGAGGAAGGTGTGAGCATGGCTAGTGACCATGGTGACAATCCTTCTCATACCATGAATCGGGTACAGGCTAAACTGTCACCGATTTCTCGGGCGAAAACAGCACCTCTATTTTTAATAACGGTAGGAAGGATTTATGTAGCAGTATATATGCTTTTTTTACAGGCTATATTATGTTGTGTTGTACATTTAATAGCATATATGTTTTCCTTAGGCGTGGACACGGTCTGTCATGTGCAGAAACATTCATGCGATGTCGTCTGCCGGCAGAAAGGAGAGATATATACGAAATATTTATAAAATTACTATTTATTTCCTACTTACTAAAATAAATATTAAATATGTGATATACCTGTAGTCCAGTGTCTTGTCATATCTGCCAGAATGTAAACTTGTTTTAATATTTCACAGTTATTTGGGGGCGGTCGGGTAGCCTAGTGGTTAAAGCGTTCGCTCGTCACGCCGAAGACCCGGGTTGGATTCCCGACATGGGTACATTGTGTGAAGCCCATTTCTGGTGTCCCCCACCGTGATATTGCTGGAATATTGCTAAAAGCGGCGTAAAACCATACTCACTCACTCAGTTATTTGTGTTTGCAATTGACAATGTGAGTTTTATTTCAAGTATTTCAGCACCAAGGTAAATATAAAATAAGGTGCTGTTTTCTCCAAAATAATCAAAGCAACAGACTGAAAATAGTTTTCCTAAATTGTCATTTACTAACTGATAAAAAAATGCCTGAGATAAAGACTGAAATTGAAGGTGAATCATTGCCAACATTGACTTTTAGCTGTTTGTGTTTACAGTGGTTAACTGTGAAATGTTACATTAGCATTTAAATCTGGAACAGAATTGAAAAAAATATAATATGAACCTATTTATACATCTGATATCAGTTCTGTTGATACTAAAAGTGCCAAATTAACAAGGCAAACAAAGATAAGGGAGAATTGAATACAAATTACAAGTAATATTGTTCTGTGAATTTGCTATAAAATAAAACAGGATCTATTTCATTTCAGATTTTAGTAATTCCACATGTGCGCTGTCTGCCAGCACGATGGGCCATAGCAGGATACGTAAATACTAAATACTGTATCAAAATTAGAAATAGGGGACTCTTGTTAGAATATTATTTTGGTGAGTTGAAAGATACATTTTGTGGTTTATGCCGACAGCCTGAAATGTTTGTATACGACAGATATATTTTTCCAGAATTTATTTGCCCATAATTAAGGGTGCATATAACACATGAGTGCGTATTATACGTGAATAAGTAAGTCTTGTGTACATTGATCAATTGGAAGGGGTGCTAATTGGGATTGTTCAATAGCCAGTAGGCGCTGCAATTCGCTGTGCAGAGTTGCTTCCCTTGTGCACACCAGAAACCTATGATCGTGGGTTCGAATCCTGGTTCGCCCGATTATGTTTCAAGGTTTGTCAGCACCATACCCGTGCTGGTGGGTTCACCGAAGTGGTCAACACCTGAGACCTGCATCACTTCAGGCTTTCCTCCCACATTAAGCTGACACGCCGCGATATAACTGGAATACTGTTAAAAGTGGCATTAAACACAACTCACTCACTCAATAGCCAGTATATTAGCAAATATCGCAGTGGGCGCTTATTAGAGCGGGGCGCTTATTAGGTCCAATACATAGTCCCTTTATTGGCTTTATACACAACAGCAAAATTATGGCTGATCAAACAGAGATACAGTTGACTGGGAAAAGCAAAAAGTGTGGTGTGGTGTTATTTTGGTTTCCACAAAATGACATAAATGAACTCAACAAAACATTTGCAGTTTGCAAAGAATGCATCAATGGAAAATTGTGAATTATGTTCTGTAACACGTGAACTTCGAAACATGCTGGACATCTATATGATTCTCTGAAAACTTCAGTAGGGAACTGATTTCAACCTTTCACCCATGTAACTGACAACGTTGTCAAAGTCACATCAATGTTTGACAATTCAATTTACGTTCTTTCTGTTGTCCATACGTTAAACTTGGCAGCAATCTCATTAAAATCAGACCTCAGTTCTCGGTACTGCTAAACAAAGATCTGAGGACATCCCATTAGGGGTCACGTCAGAACGAACTTTCATCCGACCAATCAGAGCATCGCTTACCAGATCATGAAAGTGACAGTCAGAATGTGATTTCTAATCACCAGATCACGCAACCTCAAACTTTAACATGAGTTATTCCGAATGAATCCATACAATCTGGACCATCGATGAGCCATTCCAGAATGTTTTGTTCAGGTTTCAAATTTGTAATCGAGAATTTGTCAAATTGTTTCGAAGTGTAGTCGCCAGTTTAAAATTAGCGCTGTAAAGCACGAGGAAGCTGCCTTCTGATTGGTCATTCCATTGGTCAGTCAAAGATCGCACAATTTCGGTCTGACGTGACCCGTCATGGGATATCCTTAGATCTTTGTTAAGCTGTAGCGAGAACTAAGATCTGATTTTAATGAGATTGAACTTGGCAGCAAAGGCTGTTCTGAATTCTAACAAGACAGTAAGTTGGACACTCAGTCCTTGCATCTCAACTAAAAAAGTATCTTCCTTCATCCTGTTCAGTATATTTTAATGTCCAACAGTATGCAAACCTACAGCCACAAGTGTGCAGTAAGAAAGATACTGCCACTTGCACATTAGCCACAGTATATATGTATATATTCATACTGATGGACAGGGGCACGGGTGGCCCAGTCGTCTAAGGCCCCACGATTCGATGTGCTGAGTTGCGTCCCTTAGGCACGCCAGAAACCTATGATTGTGGGTTCAAATCCAGGTTCGCCCCGATTATGTTTCTAGGTTTGTCAGCACCATACCCGTGTTCGTGGGTTTCACCGCATTAAGCTGACACGCCACGATATGACTTTTATACTGTTAAAAGCGGCGTTAAACCAAACTCACTCATTATACTGTTTGAAATGAATAAGGGAACACTTAGTTTTAGACACAGTAGAATGATCTGCCATCATGTGTTCCCAGCCTTATCCACCCAATACACACTGGAAGCAATGCCCACAAACACATCTCAACATCTGATATCTGACATGGTTTGAATTTGTATGCACGCTGGTTCAAATGTACTGACAGTAGAGCATATTTCACCATTCTTTTTACTGTCTCTTATTTGCTTCCTTCAGTATAACCAGCGTTAGAAATTGGCACAAGTCTGTAGCCCTTGCCAAACTGACCAAAAGTTAAGGTATCAAAATGACCAGAAGAAATTTGCAGACACGATTATTGACAGACCGTCCTCATATAGCTGAGTGCGGTGTTAAACAACAAACAAAGTTAAATCACAAGAAGTGGTACATAGTTGTGATTTAAGTTGTTATTTGTCGCCACTCGGCAATATTCCAGCAATATCACAACAAGTGATACATAGAGACACATGAAGATCCAGGGTAGAATAGGTCTTCAGCAACCGTAAAAGGCGACTATGCTTGTCATAAGAGGCGACTAACGGGACCGGGTGGTCGTGCTTGCTGACTTGGTTGTTGCATGTCATCGTATCCCAATTGCGTCGATTGATACTCATGATATTAATCACTGGATTGTCTAGTCAAGACTCAATTATTTGCAGACCGCTGTCGTACAGCTGGAATATTGCTGAGAGCGGCGTTAGACAACATAAAACCCCTCATACGTATATGTTGTACTTTGTTTACATATAAGCATATTGTAGGATTATTGAATGTGCACATGAGGCATAGTGTATATGTGTTTGGCATATTGGCATTATGAATGGATAATATTAAATACTGAATATTATGTTTTCAGTGAACACCATGACAACCACAAGTTGATAATGGAGGTCCAAAGCCATCCAGAGAATCCTGGCTCTGTTACAGAAACAGATGTAATCATAGACTGAGAGGGCATTGCTGGAAACAGGTGATATCAAGAAACACGATTCTGCCAGCAAAACAGAATAAGTGTAGCAAGTGTGTGATAATATTTAAGATGTCAGTAGCACAATGGAGTCTTGCTTCAAAAGTGTAATGAGTGGGAAAGAATTTGCACAAGCAAGTTACCAGAAGAAACACATGAAACGTCACACTGGTGTCAGACCTTATCAGTGTTGTGAGTGTGGGAAAGAATTCACAGAAAATGGCCATCTGAAAAGACACATGAAGAAACATGAGAGTGGTCAGAGTGATGTGAATGGGAAACCTCATCAGTGTGGGGAATGTGGGAAAGTGTGTACAAGATCAAGTAACTTGCAGACACACATGATGAGTCACAGTAGAATAAAGTCCTTTGAGTGTGAAGTGTGTGGGCAAGTATTTACAAGATCAAGGAGCATGAAGATGCACCAGAAGAGTCTTCACTGTGGAATCAAGCCTTTCAAGTGTGCTGAATGTGGGAAAACATTTTCACGAAGAGGTACTCTGGAGGGACACATGAGGATTCACGATGGAGTCAAGCCCTTTGAGTGTGATGAGTGTGGGAAAGCATTTACACAAAGAGGTACTCTGAAGACTCACATGAGGCTCCACAATGGTATCAAGCCTTTCAAGTGTGCTGAATGTGGGAAAACATTTTCACGAAGAGGTACTCTGGAGGGACACATGAGGATTCACGATGGAGTCAAGCCCTTTGAGTGTGATGAGTGTGGGAAAGCATTTACACAAAGAAGTCATCTGAAGACACACATGGGTATTCACAGTGGAATCAAGCCTTTTAAGTGTGATGTGTGTGGGAAAGAGTTTACACGGGCAGGTACCCTGAAGAGTCACATGATGCATCACAGAGTCCGGGGTACAGAGTCCGGGGAAACATGAACACAAAGAAGTGATCTAAATACACACATGAGTATTCACTGTCGTATCCAGCCTTTTAAGTGTGCTGAATGGGGAAAAGTGTTTGCATATTCTGGCATCTTCATGGAGTTCTGCCCTGAACATTGAGTGTACCGTATATAGGTGCCGGAAGACACACATCATAGTGGCGGGCATTAGTGAGGTCAATCCTGACTACAGTACAGAACCTCATGCCATGAGTGTTGGCAATCAATTAGTTTAGTGACTTAGGTTTTTGAGCTATCACTGGTAAGTCTTTTCTTTGTTGAGTGAAAATGTTGACCAAACAGCTGATAATATGTTGCCTCGCCTTGCCTCACCAAGTAAGGGAGATGTTTTACGAACGTACTGCCACTTTGCCTATTGTATCTTTCTAACTCATAGTAACCTTGTGATAGGTACTACTTTCAAGTGAGACCTGCTTGGAGGTATTACTCTATTGTTTCAGTATAACGCTGTGTAAGCATGGTAAGGTATCCCAATGTTTCTGTATTGTGGTATTTCTTGGAGTCATGTTTTAACCATGACTTTAATATGAGTAGATCAGGAGTCAACTCAGCTCGCCATTCATTTGTGCTCATTATGCATTACATGGTAACCTGCAACAAGAGAATCATAAATCAGTGTTTTTCAAGGAAACTTTCCATGTGCATTCCTCAATACCTAAACTGGTGCCTTTTGCTATTTTGAAATTTTTCTAAATTATATTTTTTGTTGTTTCTATGGAAGCAATTTCAACTTAATCTTAAATGAAGGTCTGGTTCTATGAAATTTCCCATGTGCATTTGTTATCAGTTTAACTGAAGCCTTTTGCTGTGTTATTCTTTTTTTGTTTCCCTAACCATGCTAACCATGATAACAATTTGAACTTCGTCTGAAAACAACACTAGGCTTCGTTTCTGAGCCATAACAGGAGGCACGGTAGGCCCAGTTGTCTAAGGTGCCGCGATTCGCTATGCAGAGTTGTGTCCCTTGGGCACGCCATAAACCTATGATTGTGGGTTTGAATCCCAGTTCGCCCCGGTTATGTTTCTAGGTTTGTCAGCACCATACCCGTGCTCGTGGGTTTCACCTAAGTGGTAAATGTCTGAGACCTGCATCACTTCGGGCTTTCCTCCCACATTAAACTGACATGCCGCGATATGATTGGAATACTGTTAGAAGCGGCGTTAAACCCAACTCACTCACTCTGAGCCATAACTTTCAAACTAATGAATCTCATTGCCTGAAACTATACATGTACATTGACCAGATGCTCTACTATTGCCTTTTCATATTTTTCAAGTTTTAATTTTTCTAATTTCTTGTGTATCCATGGAAACAATTTGGAAATACTTAAGAGTCCTTCTACTTACGATAATTATACTGCATACAGTCTATCATCCAAACTGCTGTTACAAGTTCAATTGTTTTATCTGCCATAAGGAGTCATTATTGCATCAACTGAAATGCATCTACCCAAGGCAAGAAAGTTAACTGACTATAAAATGCCTCTCCTATGGACCAATCAGATTTCACCTGTGGTATCACCATGATCACTTGCATTTGCCTCAAACAAAATGGCAGCGCCCAGTCAAGACAATCTGATCGATAATGAAGATGTATATTGTGATAAAACAAGTCTTACATCGTAAACTGCATCAAGTCACTTGAGCACCTGGATTAAAAACATGAAAATATCTGTTGATGAGTTAGCGGTGCACATGATTTGCAAATCCTGCAATCGACCGAAGTCTGCATGACAGTTTACGAACCCTATTTCGATTTCATTGGACGATTTTGATTGGACTATGCATAGACTCGTTAGCATGGTTAGTCCAGCCAAAATGTAACTCCATAATACCAGCCTAGTTCGGCAAGGGTGGAAACTGGACTTTTATAGTCAGTTAACTCTCTTGCCTCGGGAAGATACTAAAATGCTGCTTCTTATTTGCAATGATCAGTATCTGTACTTGTATTCTTTTGGCTGTTATTGTTTTTTGGATTTGCAAATGCATTTATGGTATGGTATACAAAAACCGAGGGGGGGTAAAAATACTCAAATGAATAATGTAATGTATCAGGAGTGTTCTAAACTGAGGCCTGATGTAAACATGTAGTAGACCCAGCTGTGAATAATCTGCAAACTTAAAAGAGTAAGTCATGGAACTCCCTTAAACGTCAAATACAGGCTCTTATTTCTGTGTTTGATTTATCAAATGAGATGTTCATCAGTCGCAGACGTAACGTGTACGCTCTTGTACTCGAGACGGGTACGGTCTGCAGTACTCAGTGAGGCGCTTGATACTAATTAATTCAATCACCGTGGCTGTGCTGTCACCCGCAACCTCCGCGAAAGTAATTAAAGGGCTATGTAAAATCACCCACTGCGTACATTCGAGCGTGATCATAAGAGCTCGTATTTGTCCAGCTTATAGCCATCTCAGACAATGAATACAATGACGAACACCCTTAACGGATTAGTGGGTAAAGCGGGAAACGCGTGTGTTCTGTGTTCTGTCAACGACAATGTTGTTGTTGTTAATCACTGAGCGGAGCTGCTCACGTGCCACTAATCTGCCTATCAAAACGCGCGGCTGTTCAAAGCGACAATAAAAAATTGAAGGCAATTGGTGTTGACACATTGTCCTCAAATTACACCATCAATTACACAGGAACAGTAATTAGGCTGTGGCACTATACTTGCTCTAAGAAAACAAACTTCGAGAGACCTGAACGCGACCATTTGTTACCATTCATTCCTTGCATCTAAATGTAAGACATGCAAGGGGCGAGTGGGGAAATATGTGAACCAATATGCAACGAGTTGACAATTGTTTTAGGTTTGCCCGTTTGCGCTAAGACGGAACTGACCATGAGAGGGGCACATGTCTCTTCGACTTGTCCCGGATTAACACGAGTTGGTCACGAGTGGAATGACTGTGGTGGTGTATTGGCAGCAGACCAAATACATTATAGTCGTGAATCACTAGAACAGAAAACAGAAGCAGTGATAATGTATAGTATTTCGTATTTTATACCGTATGTCTGTAATAATACTAAGAAAAAGGGTGCGTATTATACACGAGTGCTTATTTTTACAGTTTTTTTATGAATAGATCTAGATTACAGGGTTTACAATTTACGGAGATATATACATATACATATAAAAATCTACAACATATATACATAAAATCTACATGAAGTCCCTAAATTCAGCATAAAAGCGGGAACCAGAAATCCTTGTTTCTGGTGCCGCCAAAACCTTGATTATGTCTTCACTGTTGATTGTGTCCCTGTCGTCCTGCTCTGGGAACCTCCAGGATCCTTTTGTCTTGTTGGGCTGGAGGCACTTCACCCCGAGTGGGTTCTCTGAAGTAACCTAGTAAAGAAAAAAAATCAGCACATGTTTTTCAGGTAAGATTTGTTGTGGTAAGTCGAAATCGAAATCGAAATCAATGTTCAGACTTGCAGTACAATGGTATCAAGTTGTAATGGGTAGCTCGAAGACGGTGTAATATTTTCGGAAAATTTAATAAGCTACGGTTTTTATCTGGCTAAATGTGTACAGTACTAACAGACACGAAACTAATTTGTTAACCAACCTCCGCGACAAACGGCACGGCTCTGTTTGACTGAGTCGGTACGGAGACATACAGGAATGTCCCGGTCGTATGCTGGCGACACTGAAACACATATAATTCATTAATATATATAAATATTAATATTTAAGATGAAATATATCTTGTTTCAAATCTTTTCTGATGCAATAAATAATCTCTTTCATGTCTTGTAAACTTACCTCATGGATCCAGACAGCCCTCGGCCAGAATTATCCTGGGTTTCTGAAATATGAAAGTGAATTGTTTAGAAAAGGAAAAGGAAATGTTTAATAACATATAAAAAAAATATGACCAAAACCAGTGGGAAATGTGGTGGTGTGAAAGTACTCACGCGATGCTTGGACGTCCCGAGCAGCGGCTCTCCTGGTAGTCCTGGTGGCTGCAATGCAGTTACGGGTATTGTATGAATAGCCTGCTAATATGTATGTTCTAGTATGAATCGAATGTAGTTGATATCCACGTAGGGGTCGACAGGAAAATGATTAGGTTTTACAATAAAAGGGACCATGGGAAATGTGGTGGTGTGAAAGTACTCACGTGATGCTTGGACTTCCGCTGTGATGTCCCGAGCAGCGGCTCTTCTTCTGGTAGTCCTGGTGGCTGCAATGCATTATTGGTATTGTAGAATAAGTTGTGTTGTAATGTATGAATAACCTGCTAAACGTATGTTCTAAAATAATTTTTGGAGTTATTGTTATTGTGAGGAGGATGTAAGGTTACTCACGTAGTGGTTCTATGCCGCTGATGTTCCCGGCTGGTGTGACGATATCGTGAGCTATAAAAAAAATAATATAAAATAATTACTATATAGAAAACGTGGTTTGGCTATATAGATGCCGTAGTCCATATCTGGAGCCAAGAAAATAGTAACTAATAATGGTAGTAGTACGAACCTTTTCGGACTCTTTTCGGCTCCCTCGCTGCTGGTTCACTGTAACAGACAACAGGATCTGATTATAGCCTGAGAAAGGTTGGCTAAAAGAGTTTAAATTCATGTTGATGTACGGTAATGGTTATCAAAACTTACGGGTTATTAGCGACGTCCAGTTGGGGCCTTGTTGTACATCAGGTATTAATATGAAAGTAAAAATGTTCAAATACCTTTAGTTGGCCTATAGAAATGCAAAGCACATGTCGTAATTTCGAGAGAATATACAGTACATATGTATGATGTCGAAAGCTCTGATCGAAAACCGGACATGTACATACGACACGACGTCATGATTAGCTTTCTTCAATATGCTTCAACGTGGGGAAAAGGGTCAGACATTGCGTGCATGTCTTGAAGTACTGTTGTAACTGGAATCTTTAACTTACTGTCGTCTTACGTTGTTGTACATCTCCTTTAGCTGTCCCTCTGTCCCCCTGTCCCAAGACACTCTGGGGTGGCCACTTCCACGAAGGTTGGTGTTGATAGAAAATCTACAACTTCACTTTGGGTGTCTGCGGTGTAATTGATACCGGCTGGCTTACCAACTGTCAAGGGCTCTCCTTTCTTGAAGCAATGGAGCATTGCTCCCGAGCCGGCAAACTTCATACTACCTGGATACGAGAGAACAACGATGAACTCCATTTCGGGGACCTCTTTCTGAAGCTTTTCCGCGGCACGGACCATGGCCTTCATCGTCCTCCATTTCCTCTGTTTGAGGGCGTTCTGAGCATTCTTCTCCATCCGCCTGGCATCTTCGGTAACTACTTTCACACCCGGCTTCACACGAGTGTGTTCACTGTCCATTATCTAAAAGTGTAATAATACAAAGGAATAAGGAGGTTGTGAAGGGATGTGAAATCCAGCATTATTTATATCTTATTATTCCATGTAATTTTATGAATAGGATATGTTATATTCTATATGTGAAATATCATGTAAGACATTATATTATCGAGCTTTATCAATTCGAAATGTACGAATATCGACAGATCAGGGTCCCTGAGCGCGATGCACCCGACCGCTTTCGTACAGGATTTCCCATACATTCAATGGGGATCCCGGTCCGAGATTCAAAGAAACCAAATTTCTTTTTAAAATGTTTTGAGCTATTAATGCGAATGTTTGAGCGCAATCAGGGGATATGGGATCTTTACATGTGAGGAATCCGGGCGTGACCAAGGTGATTTAAAACGTTAATGTACAATATACTAATACATACATATGTACATGTTATTGATATGAACAAATAGACAGACATCTTGAATATGAAAACGAAGCTTTATTGACCATATAATTACATTACATGCAGCTGGAAAAAAGAATAAAGTTTTGTATGATGTTAGTCGTCCAGTAGGGCATGTATCTCACTGTAAATAGTGAGATATGTCTCCTTCTTCTGTCCCCTAGCCTTAAGTCTCTGGTAAAAGGCCCCACGATGTGACTGGGTCAGACGAGGCATCAATTGTTTGATTTCTCGCTGCAAATCCCGAACTGTCAATGATTCTGGCCCGGTGTGCAGAATCCTCTCATCGCCAGTGATAAAAACTGGCTGGCTGAGCTGGGGCAGTATGTCTTCATATTCCCCCAATACCTTAACCTAAATGTAATACTGCCGCCTCAGTTTGCTTGTTGAATGACGTCGACCAAGTAGGGATCGAGTGCACAGCCGGTTATGCTTGTATGCACCTCAGTGCCCTCAATATACTGGCTTTGTCGGAGACGTAGACGCCAAGAAGCAATGGCGTTCTCAAAGTTGAGCGGTCTCAGCCGAGGGCCAGTTTTGGACATGCCCAGCTCCGCCAGCGTCTTGTTGCAAATGTCGGTCAGTAGAGCCTCATTGAGACATGCCGTTGGCCAAATGTCATCAGTTGGCATGCCCTTTGGAATAAGATCCTTAACACATCCGTTTTTTTCTTCTGAAACGAAGTCAAAACACTCCCCCAAAGATGGATGGCCATTTGTTGTGATGGAGCTAAACTTGTCAAACAAATTTTTCACTTCCGTGGGCATATGCATGTATTGGACTTCGTCAAACACCTCAATGTCCCAATATTTTGGGTGGTTCCCGTCATGGAATAATTCTTTAGTCATGTATTCGGCGCTGTAAAGAAGTGGATGGTGATTCCTATTGACTGCCATTCGAAAGTATATTATCCCTTGTCCAAAAGATAGCTAACATTTGGGGAAGTGTATTCAGACTTTGCATAATTTAGGAAACCTACGGCGGAATGGGGTGCAGATTCAGATGAGACATGGGGGATGACGAGCTCACGGTGAGTGCCAAGATGGAAAGTTAGCAACAAAGCCCAACTTTTGTGATGGCAGTTTTTTAAGCTATTTCAGTTTCAAAGGCCATTATTTCACAGAAGTACTCCAGAAAAAGGGCTTTCTAAGATTCATCTCATAGTGGCCAGACCCAATGTTTAGATATACCCAATCAAATTCTAATTTTGAAAATGCATTTGCACAGGCATTTTTGTGAGTTTCGAAAGACTTCTGGTTTAAGAAACTGCTGTGGCAGGCCTGGTACACCCAAGCTTCATCCTTCAATTTCTTGATGATCGAAAAGGGCAAACCATCACAGCATACTACAATCCAGAGTCTCTTATCTCTCCGATGTACTGAACTAAATTGTTTTCCCTACCTACTTCCCTAACTGTCTCAGTGCTGTTAGGGTTCATGTACATTGGGTCAGCGAGAACAATGTTGTGCATGTCTTTGTTTCCGGATGGAATGTGGCTGTACCTCTCGTCCTCTGTGATAACCGTGCAGGAATTGGTCAAGGATCATTTCGGTTGCTAGGGGTCCCCCCTCTAAATTGTTTGATGGGGGCCTTAGCGTTTCTGGCTGTTCCTTTCCCCTTTGTAAGCCCTCCCTATCACCACACCCTACACATTTCTGTTTTCTTGAAGAATTTCGAACCCCACACCCCTCACAAATGACCTGTTTCTCTGGTAAAAGCTTGTCTAAAGCTACGTCCATAAAATCCCCAATACTTCTGTGTTCCTCTTTAACCACCTTGTTGGCCTTATCTATAAACAAATGAAGTTGTTCCATGTGTAAAACCTTGTATTCCCTGCATAGCGGATGAGGACACAATGTCATTGACCGAATCGCAAATGCGTTTGTGATCATCAGGTTCCAAACTGGGGTGTGACAGGTTGACTGTTGCAGGCTTTAAAGTTGGGTCATTTTGAACGGTCGCATCCAGTAAAACATAACCCTTGTTGGTGATGACGGATAGGGGAGTTGCCTGCTTAGGGGCAATCCTATTATTTCCCCCAATAACTTGCTCATTGTCAAAAACATTAATGACAAAACCATCGGGCACCAGCTGGATACTCAAAGGTCGAAATAAGAGAAGGGACAGAAAGTTTATATATTGATTTGACGGTGCAAGTGAGTAGTCTGGAGAAGAACTGATTTGCCCGAGAAAAGAATTTAGTGTTGTATTTCAAGATTGGAGCCAAACGTCTGAATTGATTTCTGAAATGTAATCAATATCCATGTACTGCCTGGTGAAGGAATCGGCATCTTTTTTAATTTGTCGGGAGAGATGCTCACCCAATAAATAACAAGTTCAATTAGCCTCGCTTGGAGATTGGAAGAGTTGTCTGTTCAACTCTGTACGTTCAACAGCGGAGAGCGACAAAATGTTGTCAAGAACAGTTTGATTGTCAGTTGGAGGTGGGTGTTTGGCCTGATTGGTTTCACGGCTGTCATGTTGAAAAGGACCAATAAAACAAATGGGACAAGACGCGGAATGTGGCACAAAACAAATGGGTTTGAAATCCGTTTTGAATGTTTTTCCTGTGCCAATTCGCTTCCGACACCGATACGGTAGCTGCATGTGCTGTTGACATAGCAGAGGTGGGCAAATGTCGATCTCATCAGCTAACAAACCAATTTTTAAAAGTCATAAAAGGTCGACTTTGTATTTTTGTTTATCTTTGTGGCCTTATGCGCTGCACAATTTTCAAGGCTGCTGCACATTGTCCCGGTGTAGTTCCTGAAAAAAAGGTGTGTTGAATGAGTGTCTTTTATATATCTGCATATACCTGTGTCGCAGGAACAACAAAATTGAACCCCAACCATGTCAAATGGCCATGTTAAGTTTATCATAAATCAAGAATGAACATACACAAATGAAATCTTCACACTTTGCTGACCATAAAAAAGTCACATGCTGACAAAAATGTCAAGAAAACGTAATGAAAAGTCACGAAATCCCAACAACGAAGAGTCAATTGACAATACGGTTAACAGAAAGTTATTTTCTTCGCTCTGTGTAGTTCAACAAGGTTGTTCAGGAATTCGAACTTCTGGAGGGGCAGGTTTTCTGTTGCAAGGTAGTATACATTCCTCAGAAGGGTGAACACTGCTTCGTCGGCTTACTTTTTATATTTAAAAAATATTTGTAAAAATAATCATTTTATGAACGATTGTTTATGAATTATTTATAAAAATTGAAAACACTAACGATTGTCATATTATAACGTTAATATTAATATATGTTTTTATATATACATTTTATAAATATTTTAAAGACAAGTATTATATTATGTATAATATAATTCACATTTAAAAAATGAGCATATCGATCTCAATTTAAGTAAAAAGATTAAAAGAGCATTCACTCAACTCATTCAACATACCTGTGAATACAAGTCACATGTTATGTGGCCTGGTGGTCCAGCATGGAGTGTGCTGGGCTCCCTACACATGTAGTCTTTATAGAGGACATTCATGTGATCTGCCTCTACATGAGTTGCAGGGACTGCATGTGCCAGGGCCCAGGATGTACCTGGCAGACCACAGTTAAGGTGGGCTGTTCATGCCAATATCAGGTATGGAAAAAAGTTGGTGACATAATTGATTAATAACAAACAGATTAGTAAAATTTAACCCGCGAAACCTGTAATAAAACTGTGTTCCCGTCGACAATCCTCTGCCATACGATTTTTCTTCACATTACTCTCATGACTGAAAACCAAGTAAGCTTTTGTTGTTGTGTTGTCCGTCATGTGTCAATCCTTGATTTTCCTTTCTGAATCTACAACATGTACAAGGACGCTGTCTTCTTTGTCGTAGGGTAAGCAGTAAATGCATTGAGGAATAATGTATACAAATGTAAAAAATACTTAGAATAGCGACCCAATCAACAATCTGACTCAGTATCTGTGAAAAACAGCTCCTAGCCTGAATTCTCCTTGCCCTTGGTGGGTCACTTTCTATGATTGCAGAACCTCAGATGGCTTTACTGTAGAACATGTATATAACAAACTACAAGGGACTGGAGAAATCGATATATGTTGTTCATTGTATGTGTTTTCTCTCAGAAATGTCTGCCATCATGGTAAAACAAATCACAATAATTGCATCATTGACTGTGCATTCTTGCAACTTTGTTTGCTGTTTAGCTCACCTGACTGAAGGTCGAGTGAGCCTTTGTTGTGTGTTGTCCGTTGTCTGTCAGTCCTTCATTTTGTACATCTCTTCGGAATCTACAAGGACTATGAAGTCTTGTAACTTTGCTGTTCTTGTTACATGTTTCTTGTAAACTGTCCAACTGACTGGCATTGAACATGTATGTACATTGTCCCTTAAAATCTGGCTTCAAGTCCTGCCAAATAGCATCCTTATGTTTGATGCTAATAATAATTATATTTTGTCATATGATAATTGATAGCCACCTAATCAACTATCTTACTCAATATATGGGAACAAAAAGCTCCCAGGCCTCTATTCGCCCTGTGATCTTTGCTCAGCATGCAGATGAAACACATTCTTCTGATCCTTCTCAGCTGCTGTCATCACTGGTGTCCACCCATGTCGCCCTCTACTGTCAGCTTCTGGTATTTATAGCTGGTGTGGAGGGTGGTTGACAGATCATGTCTTGTTCTTACTTGGTCACTAGCTGTGATTTGGAATCTGGAATTTACCTCCCAATCAACAATCAAATATATCTCAAATATGACTCAATATCTGGGAACAAACGGCTCCCAGGCCTGAATTCTCCATGATCTTTGCTCAGCATGCAGATCAAAAACCTTCTTCTGATCAGTATCAGATGACTTTATTTTAGTGACATTTACCAGTGGCAGATGTTTCCCACTGTTTCTCTTCCAACCTTGTATCCCACTTTCTTCTGATCCTTCTCAGCTGCAGTCATTACTGCTGTCCACCCATGCACCCCTCTACTGTCAGCTACTGGTATTTATAGCCAGTGTGGAGGGTGGTAGACAGATCAAGTCTTGTCCTTGCTGGGTCACTTTCTATGATTTGCTGAATCTGGAATTTACCTCAGATGACTATAGATTAGTGACATTTACCAGTGGTAGATGTTTCCAACTTTTTCTCTTCCAACCTTGTGTCCCAGGTTTAAATATTGCAGACTGAGGCATTGAAAATTAACTCGCTTTTGTCGTTACATGTTTCTTGTCTGTCCAACCAGACATTGATTATCTACATACATTATCCCTTGAACTCTGCTTCAAGTCCTGCCAAATACCATCCTTATGTTTGATGCTGATAATAATAATATTATATATTAATTAATAGCCATCCAATCAACAATCTTACCAATATCTGGGAACAAACAGCTCTGAGGCCTGAATTCTCATGCAGATGAAAGACTTTCTTCTGATCCCTCTCAGCTGCTAGCGTCACAGGTGACTACCCATGCACCCCTATACAGTCAGCTATTTATAGCTTGTGTGGAGGAAGGGGAGACAAATAATGTCTTGTTCGTGTTCTTGGAATCCTTTGCCCTATCCTCATTATCTATGATTGGCCGAGGGCGGTCGGGTAGCCTAGTGGTTAAAGCGTTCGCTCGTCACGCCGAAGACCCGGGTTCGATTCCCGACATGGGTACAATGTGTGAAGCCCATTCCTGGTGTCCCCCGTCGTGATATTGCTGGAATATTGCTAAAAGCGGTGTAAAACCATACTCACTATGATTGGCCGAACCTGGAATTTACAGGATTTGGATGTTATCACCTTGACAGTGCAAGCAGGAAGAGACAATCCTAAAGTTTGGAGGTCCCACGATGGCTCTCAAGCCTCCAAACTCTATTCTACAATAAGTAATGAGGCAGGGCACTTGGCCACCTGTGCAAGTATCCCAGGCTAATTATTGGGATATCTTCATCTTCTATCACAGGAGTCCATCAGTGGGTCCACAACACTTTATTCGAGATCTTAATAGATATAAATATACTGTATTCAACGTATTAAGCATGTTAAGTGCCTAGGGCGCTCTCAAAATTAGAGTATTATAAGCAAATAAATAAGTCTTGTGTATATTTATCAATCGGAAGGGGTGCTGTTTGGGATTGTTCACTAGCCAATATATTAGCAAATATTGCCATGGGCGCTTATTAGAGCGGGATGCTTATAACGTCGAATACAGTAACTACAAAGTTCAGCAATGGAGATCAGGGGGAGTGGAGGTCGCTGGCTGGAGGGGTTAGATGGGGAAATTGAGTGAGGGGGGTAGTTTCAGCGGTTGTACGTTTAATTTTTCGATGGATACTCCAAGGAAAACATGATTTACTGGAGGACCCGTCATCAGAGTTTGTAGTTTTGAATGAAAACAGAGGCATTATAAATGTGAAGACCTAACAAAAATGACAAAATTGTATAAAAACCTACCCAGTGGAAATATAAACTAAAAGTTCAAAAGAATCACCTAAAAGTCACGT